GCCTATGAAGAAAGTGGGAGAAACACTTGTTCCCAAAAGCGAAGATGAATTTGATGCCGAGGACATCAAGAAGATTGAGAACTACGCCAAAGCAATCAATATGCTTTATTGCGCAGTGAATCCCGACGACTACCGCAAGATCTCTTGTTGCACAACCGCAAAAGAGATGTGGGATAAGCTTGAAGTCACGTACGAAGGTACGGATCAGGTACGTGAAGCTAAAATCGATTTTCTTACGCAGGAATACGAGCTTTTCAGGATGAAAGAGGGCGAGAAGATCGATGAGATGTTTGAACGCTTCTCCAAGATCATCAATGATCTTCATGCTCTCAAGAAGACATACACCAACAAGGATTTAGTACGAAAAATCCTGCGTAGCCTCACTCCCGAATGGAGATCCAAGGCGGATGCGATCTACGAATCCATTGGAATCTCAAACGTAACCATTGACGGGTTAAGAGGTAATCTTAAAACTTATGAGTCAACTATTCTAACCCCTTCTTTAAGTGATCAAAAGAAAAAGGGGATTGCTCTAAAAGCAACCAAGGAAACGGTTGAACAGGAATCACTTGATGACAATAGCGAGTTCGGACTCATCATCAAGAAATTCCACAAATTCATGAGAAAGGAATTTGACCGTAAGGGGAAGAAGTGTGATGGCCCTCCCAAGTGCTATGGTTGTGGGGAGGTCAGGCACATCAAACCGAAGTGTCCAAACGCCAAAGGCTCCAAGGGCAAACATGGATTTAAGAAACAAAGAGCCTACATCTCTTGGGGAGGCGACTCGGGCGAAGAATCAAGCGAGGAGGAGGAGGAAGACGAAGAAGCAAATCTTTGTCTCATGGCTCAAGAAGAGGAAGAATCCTCCAGCGAAAAAGAGGTACGTAAGTATTCCACCGAATCTTATTCTTTAGAAGAAATGCATGAAGCCTTTCAAGAGCTATTTGAGGAATTTGTCAACGCTTCAAAAACAAACAAAACCTTAAAGAAATGTTTTCGTAAGCTTGAAACTGATTTTGAAAACCTCCAAAAGGAGAATGAAAAACTTAAAGAAGAAAACAAGTTTTTTGGTAAACGAAGCGCCGACAAACCCGAAAGCTCTACGAACAATTGCGATTCTTGCATATCTTTAAAAGAACAAATAGCCAAACTAGAAAATTCGGTGAAGAAATTTAATAAACCTCAAAAAGATCTTAATCTTATGTTTGGTTCTATGCAATTCACTAAAGAAGGACTAGGCTTTGGTAAAGAAAATGAATTAGAAAATCAGGAAAAGGTTGAGCAAAAACTTAAACAACCTAGAGCTCAACTCAAGAAAGATAAAAATAAGAATGATAGAGAACCTAGAAAGAATAATGAACCTAGAAACAATAGAGAACCTAAGAAAAAGGTTAGTCAAAATAATGAAAGACTTAGACAACCCAGGAGAAACTATCAAAATAATTTTGTGCACAAAAATAATTTTCCAAATAGACAAAATAATGCTAGACCACCTAGAGAAAATTTTTAAAATAAAAATTCAAGATTTTATCAAAATAGGATGAACACCGTTAGGCCTCCTAGTAGTTATTATCAACCTAGGAGAATGCACAACCCGAATGTAGTATGTCATTATTGTAATAGAATAGGACATATTGCTCCGGTGTGCTTCACTCGACATAGGCATTGGACTCAAAATGAATCACACCTTCACTATGCACCTAACACTCAAGGACCCAAAAGTACTTGGGTACCTAAATCCTATTAAATTATTTTTGTAGGTGTGCTTGAAAGCATCAAGTGTACATTGGTACCTTGATAGTGGATGCTCCAAGCACATGACGGGTGATGCATCGAAGTTTCGACAAATAAAGCCCGCTAAGGGAGGAAA